TTAAAAAACAGACGCAACAATATAAAACTTACATACGAGCATACCAAGTCAAAGTCTTTAATCCCATTAAACAGAATTATCTACATACACATTACATATAATATACACATATAAGGGATAACAAGATATACCGCCCAATATTATTAAATACTACTGGTATTTCCGACTGGCGATCTCGTCCTCGGTTGACAGTCAGGTCATACACACACACATCAGTCTTGTTAGTTTGGCCTCCCTCTCTGGTCACTGTGCACTGCGGCGACGTGGTAGGTGTAGACTCTAGAACACACACGGCTTCTGGCAGAGTCTCTGCTACTCTAGTAGGCCTAACCTACACTTGGTTCTTTTATTAGGAGGTCAGTGTTAGTCTGACCCTAAACAAATGACTCCACTAACTCAACTGTACTAACTTGAGCTCAACTTTACTGACTGTAAAGGAGTCAACTATACTGTGACTCAAATCAACGCTACTTGTACATCTGTACTAACTGTACTGTTACTAACTGTGCTAAATGTACTAGCTTCCAACTAAATGGCTAGAAATGAGAACGAATACAACCCATAAGACATAACTAAGAATTAAAATCACATCACATTATTAATAATTACGGTACCGGTAACCATAATCTAACTAACAGTAACCATAATCCTAACATTTCTTAATAAAACTGCAATTCTACAAACACATTTAAGATAACTGAGTACCTACTCAGTATGTGATCGATGTCCACTTAAATGTAAACGAGTACTAGTGTTACTAAAGCCAAAGTGACAGTCCATTTCAGCCATTCCAATCAATCTTAACTTTTAAATTTTATTTCACACCAGGCTTAGTTATTAATATATGAGACTTCTTAGATTGTTAGTTTTTAATCATAGCCTTAAACATCTTAGACCTGACCTGTATTACTTCCTTAAAAATCTTAGACCTGACCTGTATTACTTCCTTAAACATCTTAGACCTGACCTGTATTACTTCCTTAAACATCTTAGACCTGACCTGTATTACTTCCTTAAACATCTTAGACATGACCTGTATTACTTACGGTAACTATTAGTAATATGGCACTATTACCATGTACATTTTACATGCATTTTAACCATTTTTTGTTCTTTCAAACAGCAATTGTAAAATGGAGACAACCCCAAAGAAATGCAGAAGACGTTCTCTTAGAAACTTAAGGAGGTCTTCATCATCTTATGTTATCCCTGCAAGAGCGCTGTTGGATGCTTCTACCGAGGATGGACCTTTTCGTGAAAAAATTGTTAATTCACCTTATGGGAGTGCTTGGTTGGGTGAAAATACAATTGAAAAACTTGTTAACAGTTCAAACTCCACCCCATTTAATTTAGAAACAGAATCAAAGTCTATTATTGCAATATCTCAAGTTGACACAGACAAAATCTCCAGCACATCTCCGACTGATGAGTGTAATGAATCATTTGTAACTGACAGAAGTTTTAAAGTCATGCCACCATCTCCCTCTTCAGCATCTCCCTTAAACACAAGCAGTCTTTCATATCAGATGAATGAATTTAAAGACTTCGTTGACAAAAATCAAAACCCAGAATGGAAACCTCTTTCTTTCCAAGGGTTGTTTTCAGAGAAAATGGATATGGGCTTGGAGATTCAGACACTGAAATCAAGAAAATCTATTGAAAGGCTAAGATGCCCAGCTAAAGCCACATCACCTAAGGCCAAAAAAAATCATAACAATAATAGAGTGCATGGTGCACAAATTTGTTTATCAAAAAGTCCAACTTTAAAAATTGCTCCTTCGTCTATAAAAGCCAGTAAGGAAAGGGTGAAAAGTGATAAGAGGCCTTTGTATGGGCATAAAAATTGTACAGTATTTAACAATCCAACAATTAATATTCCCATATCGGGAAGTTTTAAAAAATCAAAAGGCCCCATTGTGAATGCCAACAGCAGTAAAATTCGTGAGACTGTTTTTTCCAGAAGTAGCTTGGCTTCATCATCTACTTCTTTGAATTCTTTCTCTGGTAAAATCAGACCTCATGCTGCTTTATGCCGTCCATCAACTTCTCAATCAGACACTGCAATCACAGATAACATAGCTGCTGAACATGCAGGCTTGGTAACTGATACAAATGTGAAAAGCATCATTCATCAGTTGTCTTCCAAACTGCAAGCTCTGCAAACTGGAATGGTTAAAAACAGAAAGATAACATCTGAGTCAAAGCAGGACCGAGAGGAATCCATATTGCCTAAAAAGTTGAGAAGAAAAAGTGAAGTTCCAGACATTAAAAGACATACTGGACTGACATTTTGCAGTAAAGTGAATTATGAGCATAGTATACTAACTGTGGAGAAGTCCAAGAAAAGAAAACAATTATCTCTTAGAAAAACTTTGCCAGCATTTATGGTTCCTAATGCTACCATTACTGATGTTGCTACGGAAAAATTGACATCAACCTCCAGTAATTTAAGTTCACCAGCTGCAATGACAACCGAGACAACAGTCGTGGATGTTGCTGGGGAAAGAAGCATTTCCGTCAAAAGCAATGTGGAAAGTAACATTGTGGACAATCACAATCAAATACCTTGTGATGAATTACATGACAATCAAATGAATGGTGCCTTAGCTGGTTCAGATAATGGTTATGTCTCTGGTACATATGGCAGTTTTGACTTTGAAATGACGGAAGAGCTATTAAAGAGCTTTGATTTACCAGTATTCAATGTAAATTTGAGCATGGGGCCAGATCTGAATTCTGAAAAACGAATGAATAAAAAAGATAAACTTCGAAGATCTTCCAGATATTTTACACTTTATGAGATGCCCCTTTCAAGACCTTCTTTAGAAGCACAATCTGAAGTTGAGGAGCTTTCTAATCAGAACTCGTCATCAAGCATAACATTTGTCTCCCCTGAACACACTTCTGATAGCAACATAATTAATCCAGAAAATTCATCTCCTCAGAATAAATATACAGGCAATAAAGAAAATGTTCCTCATGAAGAAACCATTCACACCCCCACACAAAAATGTAAAACTTTGGTGTTTTCTAATGACTTACAAACTTCTAGTGAGGCTGATAACATTACCATTGAAGAGATGACTGAAAATTTTAATGGTCTCTTTGTAGATGAGAACCATGATGTAACTAGGAGTAACAAGGTCAAAGAAATGAAAGCTAAAACAAATCAAAGGAAGCAATATACCAATGTTTTCAAAGCCTGCTCAGAAAACATCATGTATGACTTAAATTTTCATAATGATAATGTTATTCCTCAGAATTATGATAAGACTCAACATGTTATTTCAGATTGTATGGTGAGTAACTCTTTAATTTCTGACCTGGAAATAGTTCAAGATGGTGGCAAAGTGAATGTAAATAATGGAACTCATTTAAAAGGTGAAGAAAATTTTTTTTCTGGATTTAGTGGCGATCAAAACACAATTCCTGTTGGTGATGTAGTAATGCAAGACATTGCTGGTAGTGACACATTTTGTGATCTAAAAGCTAAGGAAGATATGGACACATCTGAGGAGAGTGTACCAACATTTACCAAAGTTTTAAGAAACAGAAAATCTTGGGACTTTTCTCAAGTATCAGTGCATCAAGAAAATAAAGTAACAAGAAGGAAACACAAAGTTTCAGAAACATTCACCCCAACCGCATCTCAAAATAATAGTCACTTGGGCGGAATGGCTTCATCCCCAAAACCCTCGCAAGACAAATCTAAGGATGACATAAGTCCAGGTCTTAAGGATCTGTATTTAAACAAAAATGTTGTTTTACCCAAGCCCAAAACATGGGAAACCATCAAAGAAAATCCAAGCAATAACCAGTCAATATTCACAAAGCAGAAATTTAAAAGAATCCTTTTGTTTGAAGCTGGTGTGAGTGCTAGCAAGCTACAGCGCAGGCACAAAAAGGCATCACAGCTTAGTAAGGGGTCAACCACAAGAGTCACAATCTCAGATCAAGATTTTGAGAAAAAGTTGTTGGATTTGGATTTAGAATTAATGTTAGATTGCTGATTTGTTCAAATTAAATTTTTAAAAACCACTCAGCTTCAAATTTAAGTTACCAGTAACTAAATAGAGGATGCAATTTCTGTTTGTATTGTCGAATAATGTTAAAACTTATTACTTGATAATTAAGACAGTGTTCCGTTTTCATTCATCTTGTGCAAACCGTAAATATTGTAGCTGTATTGAAAGGATGATATATTTTTCTTCTTTAAAATTTAAATTTGTGTATCTGCCCCTGGGGATGCCACTCATGTTCACAATTTTTGTAGCGGGGTACCAAAATTAAATTTTTGGATCCATGCATTGTGTATATGTAATTATTTGTAATACCATGTCAAACAAGGTGCGGTAAAGCCTGAAAAAATGATAAACAGGTTTTACCATATTTTGTTTCAAACATTTCCTTCTACCTATACCTTGATAGCAAGCTCCCCCCACTTATTTGTAATAGTGCTGTACATTTTATATCATAATGCAGTTTAGCTTGTACTTTAAAAATAGGTTACCCGGTACTCATGAAAGTGGGAGAATTTTCAAATATTTATTTATCCAATCCTATTTTATCTCAGATGATAAGTGAAAAGACAAGTATTAGTTTTATAACTGAAATTTGCACTGAACACAAATTGATACCATTAATTAAACCAAGTTGGGGGGGGGGGATGTTTGAGAACATCATCATCGTTAGGGACATATTTTTTACTATTCATTTTTGTGAATTTAAATAATCTTAGACTTAAAGGCCATTCTTTAATTACATCATGCATAGAGAGAGAGAGGGGGGGAGTGTCACATAGTTGTGACAAGGATGGGGGTGTAAAAATGTGTAAACATAGCTTACCGTTAATTATATATTGCCTCATGTAGCTAGCCATTTATGCTTTTAAGTACATCAATGTCAGTATTTTAAAAGTCTGTTACTTTTATTATATTATTTATATATTTGTTAAAAGTACATGTTGACTTCAACTATCTGTTTTAAGTATGACTTATGAGCTTGAACATAACAAAAGTGTGAAACAAAAATTTATTGAGGCAAAAGTTAACACAAGTCAAATCTACAAACAAAAAAGTGAGTTCAATTTTAATAATATTATACACATATTATATCTTCCATCCTTCAGTAAGTAAGGCTTTAAGACTCAGTAATTGTTACTAATCAGTGGCATTTGGTAAGATAAATTGTCAGCTTCATTGCTCAAGGAAATGCTTGTGCTCATCACAGTTATAACGTACACGTGATACTCCTTAATTGTTCTTTAATATGTGTATGGTCATGTCAGAAATTTTCAAGGCAGAATCCTGCAAGTTGTTACTTGGTACTTTATTGACTTCTTTGCTAAAATTATAATATAGTTTTCTCATGTTGTTTTTGCTCCAGTTTTAAAACTTATTTACATTAATAAACAGGATTTTTAAAGATTCACATAGTTTCTTCCAGTGTCTTTGATACTGGTACACAATAATTGAATAAATTATTCGGGTGAATATTAATTTTATATATTTTTATATAAAATGTATGCTATCTACGGATGAGCAAGTTGTTTACATGCCTACTGTGTAAATTAACCACTTAATATTTAATTGTGCAAAACACAATTATATAGTATTGCAAAAAACATACAAAACCAAGTGGTGATCATCGTACAGCAAGCAAGTTTCAATAATTTCAGTCTTTATAATTATAAGGTTTACATTTTATTGGCTCCATCTTTCTAAAAGTCATGTTCACCCGTACGCCAGTTGCTTTCTTACGTTGAGGCAAAGAATGATACCAGAATGAATTTGTTGGCTGTTTCATCAGTAGTAAAGATCCATGTTCTAACTTAATAGAGACGGTATCAATTTTTCTGGTGGCCTTTGTCCCTCGGCTGTCTTGGTGTTTGAACACAAAATCTCTCTCCTGACCACAGGTTAAAGACGCAATAGGATAACCAGAGCAGAGGTCCTTTTCATCATCTTTATGCTCACCCATGTAATCATAACCATCTTTGTATCTGATAATAATAATTATATCATAAAACATTAAAAATTTTGTGAACTATGCAATAAATTATGTATAAAAATTATTAAAAATGAAATTAAAAATATATTTCTGGGAGTTAAAATAATTGCATTTTTTACATACCGGTATTCTTGAAGAATTGATAGGAAATTAACATTTTCAGTTTTTAAAATTAGAAAGATTGGTGATTTTAAAATTAGAAAGTAATTGTTTAGAAAAGAGCTCTGCAACAAGTGTGGAGCGGAAATGGAGATCTAAAGAGTACGCTGAAATTTTAGTTCACATAAGTTAAATTCCATTTTTTTTTCTGAATTTCAGTTGAAGGGATAATGTTAAATTTCCATTAAGTTCATTGTACTTCTACAAATTTCCACAATATTCATTTAAGCAAAAAATTTCTACTAAAAATTATAAGCAGTTCTTGGAAGAATGATAGTGAACTTCACGTCGCTTCATTATGTATTGAATTACATATGAAACATCTATTTTCAGAAAAACAAGCTCAAAGGTTGTAAATATTATTTAAAATTTTAGTGTAGTGTGCTACGACATTCTTGGGTGTGCAGTAAGACAAAATAAGGTTGTAGATTACTTGTTTAGGACCAAATGTGATGACAGAAGGCCCACAATTCACTAGCATGTCATTTTAAAATTGTTGTCCAATGTGAAACACAAATGACTCGTTGGCTCAATGAGAAAGTTTTTGGGCCATAGGAGTATTAGGAGACAGCCTTTTGGCTCTAAGTCTAAGTGTAAGACCTCTGGTCAATTATGAGATATAGAATAACCTTTCTTCCCACAGAATCCATTTCTAGAGTAAAACCAACAATTACTTATGAGCACTGAGCAAGTTGGATTCTGCTTAAGTCCTCCTTTAAATTATAATCCAAGGCTGGGCCTGGAGTCATACACAAACGACAATACTAAAAGGCAGATGATTTTATTTTTCTAGTCCAAAGGTTTTATTAACTTACTTTACAAATAGCCTACCTGTTTACTAGAACAAAATTGAATGTAAAACCAGTAGCCTGTGTTATCTGTCTTCTGACTTTATTCAGGAATGATGGCCATGGATTTGCAGGTAATGTTTTTCCAGAAAAAGTGTAAGTCAGTCCTTCATCTCCATATGCTACCTGTATGCAAATTAAAATGACACTAAAAAGCTTTCAAATTAAATGCAAATCTTTGCAATCAGTGACCAGTGATAAAAAAAAAATGTTCACAAAAAAATGAGCTTTATAAGAAATATTTACTAATTGCCTAATAAGATATATTTAATAATTTACTCAAAAATACATCACCTGTTTCCTTGGAATATCAATCCACTTCCCAAACATTTGAATTTTGGCTAAATCTCCCACATTATATGTGATATCTCTTTCACATAACAAGAGCAACGAGGTAGCTTCATTTTCCCTGTAAAATTTTGTATACTCCAAGTTCAAGTTTTCTGAAGTGATTATGTTCATTCTGCAAATTTTTGGCATTTCAAGAAAATCAAGGCTTAAATCTGCTTCTGGGCTTTTTGGTTCCATGTTTTTAATTTTATTAGTCATTGTAATAGATTCCCCATAATTTTGTGGTTTCTTTATCATTTCCTTCAGTATCACATTCTCCATTTGGTTGTCTTGCCCCAGTGAACTATTATCATTAATGGATTCATTAGCATTATTAACTCTCTGGTCTTTGAACTTTTTAAGTTTTTCAAGTTCAGTTTCTTGGATATCCAAAAGTCGTTTTCTTCTCCCTTGCTTTGGTGTCCTTGGCATTGTAGTAATATTCAATTGTAATTTCAATCTTTGTCATGTCCAAATTTATTAATTCACATATGTTATTGTAATGTGGGCTTAAATTAAAGAAAATGAGAAATTATGTTTAGGGTACAAGTATAAGAATACGGTATGAGTGAGTATTATTTTAACTTAGTGTTACTTAATTAACTATACGACATAGTTTTTTTTAAAGTGTTGGTGTACAAAGTGACTATTAAGACTTATGAATATGATTTATCTCTCTTGTATTTAATTATTTATCAATTAATAGTCTTAATGACTAATTAATTACGGTAGTAATTACTTGATACCGTTATGGAGATGCAAGTCATTAAAAAGAGAATGAAAAAGTATCATTCATACTGTAGTTGTAGTGACTTATTAGTCAGTGATAATTCAGCATTTCACAGCCTTATTAATTAGTGCCATGCTCCACTTACACCACTAGCAATCATGTTATTATCATCAGAGGCCAGCCCTTCCACATTTTTTTTTTTTAATGAATGCTAATTGACGTATTTATTTATACACTTCATTAAGGGACATTTTCATGTCATTTGGGCTGATTGCCTATTAATGCGCCTCGGGTCAGCTAGGCTTACCTAATTTCAAAAATGGTGTAAGTGTAAGCTACTTCCGCAGTCCCTGCCTACAGTCGTGATGTCGTGAAGAGCCACTAATAAATACGGAGGGTGTATCCGTATTCATCGGGTGTCAATGAAACCTGCAAGAAAATCATCGGTTTACTTCGATATGGTTAACTTAAAATGTTCTGGCCTATTTTACAAAAAAAATAATAATAATAATAATAAAATCTAAGCTAATTTTTTTTTTTTGCGTTGGTTTGAATAAATTAATACAATTTAGTCAAACCACGATCTATTTAATTTCATTGCGTTCCCTCCCTCGATATTAAGTTAGTGTAAGTATGTAAAAATAAAACATGAATGAATATGAAAAATGCTTTTATATATTTAAAAAACAACAACTAAAACACGCTTTTCTAAAAAATGTATTAAAATATAAATTAAATGTCCCCCAAAACATCTTAGTTGTTACCGTCATTAGTCTATAAAAATTTTAAATACGGTGAACATATTTTTCTTGGGATAACCTGAGACCAAGGGTTGGGAAAAAGGGGGGGGGGGTTCCACCACCACTCACGCACCACAACCCCCAAGCCAAATGCTGTTCGTCAAAATTGACGGAAAGACACGGTTTCCTGAAAAGCAAAGAACGAATACATGTATTAAACATTATAAATTACATTATATAATGTATCTCACGGACGTACCCAAACATACGTTGTGTTAATCAGGAATCCCGTGTGAAATATTTGTGAACAATAAATTAGAAAAGTACCAGAAATGTTTTGTGAGTAATTTACTAATACTTTCTGAAACTGAACATGTCATTTTTTCAATGTTTAACTAACTACCGGTACTAACTAATGACTTGTGTGTGTGTTTTAGTTTTGTAATTGTGTGTTTATTTGTTGTTGTTTTGTTTTTTTTAAAGAAATAAATATACACAACCGACGTATGTCAGAAATATGAAGGATCATCAAGTGAACTTTAGTTATTAATTTCATAATCATGACACAATAATATAACTGAGATGAGTGGATAGCTCTCAGGAAGCAGGATTTTTTTTTAAAAAGCATATTCATTAAAGTTATCACTGAAATCGACAACCAGCTTATGTTTCAATGTACAAGGAAAAAAAATGGGCTGGTCCACTCCTCCAACATTAAACAGAAACTCGTCCTTCTCCACCAATGAAAGTGACGAGGCCATGAAGGGCAGTTCCGGCTCAAAGCAGCAAGAAGCCAGTACAGGAACTGCTCATTCCTGCCAAAGACAGTCAGGGGCTAGAACAAGCTTCCAAAAGTGACAGTTGAGACAACAACTCTTGATACATTTGCGTCTATTGCCTCAGGCCTTCTGACCCCCCATAGTTCCCGATATCCTCGCCAAGTCACCCTTGAAACCAGTGAAATATCCTCTCCAACACCAGGCACACAAAAATCATCGCGAATCCACTCTACAAATATGGTTGCCAGAATGATCAGTACATTGATCGTGGGCCCTTAAGGTATAGAAGAAGTTGCGGTTTATCTGGTGTACATAACATGTTGTTCAGTGGGAGCTTGTGTCCCTCACTAAAGAAAAATACTCAGTTCGTCGGAAAACGCTAGAGGCCGGAATCTTTCTTTTGGGGATGCCTGGAAAGCTGATGCGAAAATAAGGAACTGTCCCGAGTACACTGGTCAGATTTTTGGGATGATGTGGGACGGGGGGGGGGAGGATTGCGCTCAAGCAATGTGACGTCACATGAAAAGCGGAATATTGTAGTAAAGAATTGCAGTAAATAACCCTAAATTACAGACATTTCTAGCATTATTCTTTTATACAACAATTATAATTATTCTATTTTTAAACTACTATCACTAAGAGAATCAGCACAGGTACCGGTATGTGAAAAATGGCCTCTTATCAAGGTACAGGACGCCAAGGAGGAGAAGAAACGGGATGTAACTACAATGACAGTCGTGAAAATTTATGGCTAAATCTGGACACAGGATTCATGGAATTAGGACTACCACGTTAAGTGGGACGGAACGAAAAAAACAAGGTTGACGGGCTGTGAAAAGGGGGGGGGGGATCTCAGTAAATGCGATAGGGCAGGGATTCTTAGCTTTTCTTTTTTTCCAACGCTGCAGGCCCCCTGCTTTTTTTAACCCCCCACCCACCCCCATGGCTAAATCTGGACACAGGATTCATGGAATTAGGACTACCACGTTAAGTGGGACGGAACGAAAAAAACAAGGTTGACGGGCTGTGAAAAGGGGGGGGGGGATCTCAGTAAATGCTATAGGGCAGGGATTCTTAGCTTTTCTTTTTTTCCAACGCTGCAGGCCCACTGCTTTTTTTAACACCCCACCCACCCCCAACCGTATAAATTATATTGTAATAAAATTTTAAATAATTAAATAATTTAGTTATCGTAGTCTGGTTGGCAAGTCTGTTGTCGCTTGTCGATTAGGAAGCGTCGGCCACCGACCCCTCGGCGTGCGCCGGGAAACAGAACTACTGGGCACGCCCCGCGTGGGCAGACAAAGGGTGTGCTCGGTACCTGCCGTACATAAAACAGCGCACACAGGGCGGCCAGTTGTGATACTTCACAGCCGGAAAATTAGGCAGAGCCAGGGTAGGGATCATGATTACAAGTTTCCGGTGACGGGTATGAGGCCAGAGGCGAGGGTGGTAACCTCTGGCCGAGGATTCAAACAATGCAGCCCTGAGAAAGCTGTCCCTAGGCAACCGTTTCGTCCCAGCTACAGCGCAAGCTAGTTGCGTTGAGGAAACCCACTGTGGAATCCCTCTTATAGGGCGTCCGACGCTTTCCCGGGATGGGTGGGGGAAGATATTAAGGACGTAAATTTCCCATCCCAACTCCATAAGAAAGTCGATCGAGTGCACTGTTTAAACGCATAGTGTCGGATCGACCGGGTGCCTGCTGGTTGGGGCGGCCCCCAGGCGGGGTCCTGGTCAAGCGCCTAGGCGCCCGGGTGGGGGACCTGGGTGAGGGCCCGGGTGGTGGCCGTCCTGACGAGTTGGCATCTCCAACGTGCCACTCCGCGGCCCGATACGTTGAGCCAGGGAGGGGTAATGGGGGGGGGGCATAAAGAGGGCAAACTCGCCCCGCTGACGCCATTTCTTGATGTAATAATTTAGTTATCGTAGTTGTCTTTCTTTACTTAACGTTTTATAAATAAGGGGAAAAATTACCTCTAGCCTACAGTAATGCGCCAACAAAATTCACAAGAAAAATATTTACTGCTGCTAATCAAAATGCATAAAAACTTGTTGTTGTTTTTTTTTTTAAAGCAGCAACAGCTATCAATGGCAGCAAACACAATCAGTGGTGTATCTAGGGTGGGTGCCACCCGGTCCGGTAAGCTCGTGGTGTCACACCCCACCCCCATCGACTTCCACGATGTAATTCTTCTTGTTAAACTTAGGCCACAGTATAACAATGACATAAACAAAAACAAATTAATTGAAGATCAGGAGGTAAATGTATTTAAGAACGGTGATATGTACTTAGAATTACCCTATTGTTATCAATGATAGCTTCTCAGAATTTAGATAAATATAGCTTCCTGTCACTTACAAAAGTACCGAACACTTCATTCGGCGTTGAAACATGGTAAAAAAAAAAAAAAGTATGTTTCTGACCTAATAATAAGGTGACCTAATTGCTTACGCATCAACCTTGAAATTTTAATAAAACAAGCATTTTGATTGGTTACAGAGGTGGAAAATGTACGTGTCATCTGTTATCCTTTTATGAATTTTGGTTAGACCAAGCAGTGTGTGCTCTGAAAATACGCAATTTTTCAATTTGGTATCATCCCCCTGAGATGGTGTCACCCGGTGTGGTCCGCAACCTACCTAGCTACGTCACTGAATACAATTTTCTGGTCTTCCACACGTCAGGGCTATGGAGGTACTTTTACAAATGGTTAAGAACCACTGTTCTAGTGAAATGTTTCTGACCTATATTTTGCGTCGAATTTCGTTTAGAGCGCATTATTTTGTTTTACTATGATATAGTTTAGTGCGTTCAAAAATAAATTTGACGAAAATGTGATCGTGTGAACTGAAAAAAAAAAAAAAAGAAAAGATTCGACCAAATTTCCGTTCCATCAAATTTCCATCATTAAATAGAATTTCGTTTAGAGCGCATTATTTTGTTTTAATATGATATAGTTTAGTGCGTTCAAAAATAAATTTGACGAAAATGTGATCGTGTGAACTGAAAAAAAAAAAAAAAGAAAAGATTCGACCAAATTTCCGTTCCATCAAATTTCCATCATTAAATTTTCCGTCGACGAAATTCCTTTCAAACACATTTCCGGTAACCGGTAGAGAAGGCATACACTGGCCTTATCCCAGAATTTCATAAAAGATACATTGATGACGCCATTAGCATCACTACAATGGAAACTATGGAACTTCAAAACATTATAAATTTCTTAAACTTATTTCATCCATCCATCCATAAAATTTACTTCCCAAATCTCTGGACATTCTGTAAACTTTCTTGATATCACAATAACATTGAAAGAAAATGGATTGATCACATCTGCCTACTGCAACTGCACTGACAGCCATAGTAAGCTAATGTACTTATCCTGCCACCACAAATCATGCAAAGACTCTATACCTTTCTCCCATTTGCTAGCTTGATGAAGACTTTTTAGAAGAAGCTGATGACATGATCGATTTATTCGGCTCCAGGTCTTATACTGAAACTACTCGTGTCTCGGCACTCAGTCGTATCAGCACTATCACACGGACTGACGCTTTTAAACCTTGCCAAAACGAACATGAATATCGAACCAAACTCATACTAACCTATCATCACCCTCAAAATTAGTCAGCCAAAAATATATTCATACAGAATCGTAACATACTTCTTGCTGACCCCGACACTAACACGGCATTCTCATCCCATCCACTGATTGTCTTCAGATGGGGATAAAATATAGGTGACCTTCTGTCTTAAAGTCGCCTTCGAGCTGACGCGTCTTACATCGGGACTAAACCATGCTCAAGAAGCCGATGTAGGACGTTTCCCTATACACTCCAAACAAAAAACATTAGCCTCCCTAAAGGTACCTTTACCATCAAAGAGGGTTTCAAATGAGTTAGTCGTAATGTGCTATATGCGATTGTGTGCCGTAGATGTCATTCTAGTTATATAGGTGAACCTGGGAGAAGATTGGCAGATAGGTTCACAAAACATCTTCGGGATATTGAACAAGGTAACCTTTCCCCAGTCTCATCCACAGAGAGCAACATAAAGGTGCATTAGATGTATCTATTACGGCACTAATGTCTTGCACTAAAACACCAGTGAGAGTTAGAATGGAAGACAAATTTATTCAGCTTTTCAGCACCATAGCTCCATATAGTATAAATCAAATACTCGCTTCTAATATCTCTCAATTTCGCTGGATCTCTTCTTTTTTTTTTCATATGCCTTAGATTTAATGTATCCCTAAATATTTTGGTTCTTTAAGATTCTCTACAGTATTTTCAAAATCCCAATATTTAAATCCTTTCACTTCCTGTAATCCTATTTCCGCCAAAAAGTAAGGAAATCTCTTAATTTTTTTTTTTTTTACTGTGCTCTGTTACTTGTCTTACTTCCATTTATCTTGTTTGCCGAAGAAGTCTCTAAGCCGAAACGTTCAAATCTTATGGTCGTGTCTATGAATTCAAGTTTAAAATACCTTCTTCTTATTATATAATCTCCTTTAAGCAACTTGAATGCAGTCCATCACTTATTGCCCTTAGACTTAGACGCAACCAATCGACCAATCCAAGGCTTTAGTTAGATCTCTGCATCAGTAGTACTATACTAACTATGCTCTCAACAATCTCTCTCCCGTAACTTCGCCATTCCAACATCTGCAAACATGAATCTCAGGCGGCGCTCTCTGTGCTACATAAACGTAACAATGAACAACATTGTGAGTAAACGTGCTGATAAGGGTGGTTCTGTCGTAGTTTGAGCCAAAACTTATACATTAAAGAAGTCAATAAACAATTTTTTAGAGCTGACAAAATTCTATAAGCCAAGCAAGAATAACCCGATTGTCCACAATAATGAAATTGTGCAACAAACAATAAATCAACCCTAATAGAATTAGCCACTATACAACACATTTTCAATAGTGACCTTTCAAAAACGTTGCTTCTATTTGAAGATTCACAAAGGGTAGCAAGCCACTTACCTTAAGGAAAACAACCACGCTTTAAAAACATTAATTCCCTAAACAATATCCCTGAAACAAAACACATACTATTGTGTTACTCGATGTCTGCTTCTTATGCACGTCAAATACCGTATCCGGAAATTTGATCGAAAGAAATTTCGTCGACGGTAAAATTTATTTTTGAACGCATTATTTTGTTTTACTATATAGTATAGTTCCTTCAAAAATAAATTTAATGATTTTAACGTGTGAACTGAAAAAAAAGATTCGACCAATTTCCGTTCGATCAAATTTCCGTTCGATCGAATTTCCGTTCGATCAAATTTCCGTTCGATCAAATTTCCGTTCGATCAAATTTCCGCATTTTAAAAAATTTGTAGGAAAAACATTTTATTGCGTCTTTAGATTATTAATGAACAAGCTAAAAGGTTTTTACACTTAAATTTTATAAAGCAGAATCAATTAAAAGGTTGTTAAAGCCTAATTATCATTGTTTGTGGAAGTAGAAATATGATTATTGTCAGTAAAGCTGACAATAGTTGAAACATTTGTAGATGATTTCATCTTCCCAGGGAGTAGCCGGGTGTTGATCTATCGTAACAATGGCAAATATTTATCAACCATCATCTCGCGGAACTGATATTCCAGACAAGTCAACATCATCCTCATCTAACCATCCAGCACTTAAAATGGAAGCATTGTCGGTGTGAGCAATAATTGCCATAAGCTCTGTCTCCTGGCAGCTACTTGCATTAGTCGAATCCTTTTTTGTTGAGGAGCAGGTGGTAATTTCTTGTGAATTGTTGGTGCTGATGAACTTGCTATTTCAACATGACATGTGATGCAAAATAGATGTTACAGATTTTGTAGATCCGTTCAACAGTGATGTTATTATTGTTCCTCACTTTACCTTCAATGATTCTCAAAATATCATATTCCTACTCTACCAATACCGTTTATCTTCACTGCACATGACAGTTGAACCTTGTCCTTGTTCCATACCCTCAACATGACCAAACATACCACCCTAGTCGTTCGCGACGTACAGAATCTACAATCGAAGAGAGGCCAACTTTTGACTTCTATTGCACTAACAAAATATGCTAAAATTCTGACGGGGTAATAAGGGGAGAGACTGCAATCAGGTTAGTACAAAATAAAATGAGTAAAACAGAGTATGGTTAAACCTGAAAAATTAAACGCAACAAAACAGCGAACGTGTCGGCAGAAAGCCTTCGTCAGCGAACAAAACAACAGAAAAAAGTTATAAAAATAAGAAATAGCACTTAGCTGGTAAGTAGTATCTGTGGGCAGCAATAGAAGTGTGCTTCTATCAGAAAGATCATGAAGGTAAACTCAGCCAACAAAGAGCATATCTCACTGGCAGGAAATGCACTGGAACAATAGGAGGCCCTCACATACTTGGGCAACACCATTGTGGATCCGAAGCAGATTTCCGGGCTAGATTTTACACGGCTTGGTCAGAATGACCCTGCTGTCAACCATTTTGTCCTGTCTATTATATTATGATGATGGCAAATATTTGATGTGTAATATTCCGATGGCAAATCTTCCTTGGTCACAACACGGACTAGTGTGATTCAAAAACACTAAATGGCTCATTGTACATTGTAACAGCTCAAATATTAACATAATGAATTGCTTCGTATAATGTATTGGTCTAGCAATTTAGTACTAACAGGAAGTTGATAATATGGATATGACATGCGCAGAAGTAAAAGTTAACAGGGAGTAAGAATATAAGATTTGGCGTAGGCTCTTGCCGTGAATAAGGTACATCACATAGCATCGTGTTTGCTACGTCACAAATTTTAGTGAATTATGTACTTGAAGTGACAAGGCAATGACTATTATGTTTCCTCCAGTTTAGGAGATTTATTCTATACTGGGTGATGGAAATATTCAGTAAATATTTGTGTCTGTTGCCTCCTGTATTCCAACCCCCAGTTCATAACAGCCCTTGCAACCAGTGAAGTATGCCTTTCAAAACCCATGCACAGTAACATCGCAAACCCCTCTGAAACATAGGAGCCAGAATGATCAATTCATTGATCGTGGGCCCTCAAAACAAAGAAGAAGAAGAAATAAACATTAGCTTGTGGTGCAAACTCATGGAATATGGCCGAATGCTTTTTAGGATGAGCATTGGAGCAATAATGTGTCATAAGTAAAATGCAAGAAGAACAACCACATTGGACAGTACTTATAATAATATAACATGCACTTTATAATAATTAGCATTGTTGTTGCACACATTATGGCAGCGGTTCTTAACCCGTGGTTCGCGACAGTAAAAAAAAAAAAAAAAAAAAAAACTCACAGAAAAATCTTATCCTCACGCAAAAGCCCAACAGCGAATCTAACCAAAATGCTCTCTCTCTCTCTCTCTCTCTCTCTCTCTCTCTCTCTCTCTCTCTCTCTCTCTAGCTCACTCTCTCTCACTCTCTCTCTCTCTCTCTCCCTCTCTAGATCACTCTAACTCTCAAAATCGTTGTCTCCCTTTATCACCCCAAAATCCACGCACTCGTACTTGATGACAAGAGTCCCCACTCGTTTACAGAACCCAATGGTCACAAATCACAACACACACCTTACCTCTGATGCCATGACCTTGACACCTGCAAACCCCCAGATAAATGTACCAGACAACCCCTGAGAATGAGAAGAGGGCGTAAGAATACATAGAGACGCGAGCTAGAGGCAGACACACAAAGTAACGGGTACATTTGGAAGCAACTGCAGAGTAAAACACAGGACCGAGATGAATGGACAATTCTTGTAGACGGCCTAAGCACCAGTGTTACGCACTGACTTGTATTGGGAGAAATTAATCTCCTATTTTAATTTTAATTGGCTCGTTGTAAACAGTGCCTAACAAAGGAAGATACCATAGAATCAATAATATTAAAGATACGACCCAAAACAGTTTCTAGTTACAATTAATACGATTTATTAATTCTTAAGATAATTACAAAAGAAAAGAAAATATAATTACAATCTTCAACTTACAGTATGGTAGATCTTGTACCGGTACACAGTTAACACAGTTAGAATAATGTGCCAATAAATAATGCGAAATAAACACATATGAGCACACAAATATACAAAGAATAAAACACGCCTCGTAAAGTTAATAAAATCTATCTGAATCTCCGTCTCCTCGTTCGTGCCTGTCAATCCCTTATATAGGTGGGTCTACCGACGCCTAAGCCCTGCCTTCGATAAGCTACATGGCATTTCTAGAACAATCACATTCATTCTACAAAATACTTTTTGCAACAGATTAATTATTTTTAGTGGTTGGCGGCATAAACACGAATAGATAAAAGAACTAAACCACACCCCTCTGTGAACACAGCGTCTCATGCGGGGTCAATCATAGGGCACGCACGAGAAAAATTATGTAAACAAGCTCAGTATAACAACCAGGCTGGGTAAAAGGCATAAGAGAGAGAGAAGAGAATAAGAATAAATGTGCACATAGCACAAACTTAACTTAACACTTCCAGAGTTGCGGACATTACATTTCCTTCCTGGGGAAAATATTAAATTATACAAATATAAAATAATAAGTTGTAGTTTTTTTAGTATGCCCTTATGTTTCTTATCGGGCTTTCATTATAATTTAGCGTCGGCCTACTATTTAATTTAAAATAAAAACTGCGCACCTTTATTTAATCTGAAAACACTGTAAACAATGCGCACCGTTCATTACGCGGTTTTTAAAGGGGCAGGTTGCCATTTGTCAATATTTAATTTTATATACATGCACTTAGAATTAACACATTATGTTGAATCTTTTATACAAGGTAGTAAACAGAACACATTACCAAAAGATAATAATGAATGGACTGCATTCAAGTTGTGTAAATGAACTATAGGAACAAGGTATGTTAAACTCGAATTAATAGACGGGAGAAAAGATTTGGACGTTTCAGCTAAGAGCCTTCTTCAGCTTACAAGACAAATAGAGCTAAGACCAGCAACAGAGCTACATATTACTAACCTGCATAATATAATACCTAACAGATTAAGAACATATACGTTTTACTGGCATCCGTTCGTCACAATGTGACGATGGTGTGGGTTTCGGAGGACGAAATCCACAAGGCCTGGGATTATTCTTCAAGGGTTATAAGCTGGTTCCCAACCTCAAATTTCCACGCCGCTGGATAACCCAAGGGAACAACCTTTGGATGATACAGCTTGGCTCCAGTGGCGTCGCAGGAGTTGTCGGAATGTTCCATCGTACCAATGTTATCCGTCTTCAGGACTCCATCTCCGGGTTTGATTTCAGAGTTTCCTTCTCTTAGATGAGTTGCCATCCAAGACGAGTCCCATCCACCCTGTTGAACATTTGTTTCTAGCTACTCACGCTAGAAATTTTTTTAGGAGATAACTCTGGCTGAATTGACCGGATGTTGTCAAACTTAATGGTCACATAGCGCAACAGTAATAAACTCATTAAAATTTGAAAGTAGTTACTATTGGCTTAAAACCGAAAATGTGTTCCTCCTAAAATCTTTTTAAGTAAATCAGGTGAGCATTTTTAGGCCCGGATCTAATCCCTATTTTGAACCCATGCAGATGTCAAATAAAATTTAGGGTATTTTAAAAAAAAATATATATATGTTTAAAAATTCTGACATTGATTCCCCGTGCCAGTAGGGACAAAAGTGATTTCCCCGGTCCCCTGAAGTAGGTACTGCCTCCAACTATAACTCTACCTTTTAACCGTATTAAAACACTTAAAGATACAAAATATCGGTTATCTCTCTCTTTTTTTTTTTCTACAGCGGACTGATTTATTATTACATTAGCTGAATGTTTTAGTGTTTTTTGTGTTTTTTTTTTTTTTACACGTTCACTTATGAAATGCTTGTCCAGGTCCAGTAGATTGTTGTCTTTCAGCTGATTTGAGCTAGACTGTTTTGTCAAACGGGTTTTTCCAGTAAAATTGTCTCTAGGACGACTTTCCTGAGATTGTTGAGTCAGTTGAATGATCTACTACTGCTCTTTTATGTCCCTATTCTAATCATAATCAATTTGTTTTCAATATTTCAAACATAAAAACACTTTTTGACATAATTGAAAAGTAAAAGCAAAAATTAAATTTAATTTAAAAACAAAAAGACATTTTTAAATTAAAAAAAGAAACATTATATTAAATATATAATTATCTACGCAAAATTTCTATTTAAATTTAATTAATATCCAAACCATATGATGCATTATGCAATAACTGCTACAACAAAATATTTAATCATGTTATTAATCATTTTATTTGTTTTCAAATTTAAGTATGTGGAAGTTGAGACCCGCTGACCCAATCTGTTTGCTGTGGAAATGCAGATATTGCCTGGCCCGCTTTCGGGTATTGCTCTGATCTTATTCATCGTGCCGGTAAAACCTGGTAAGATCAATTGGATTCAAATCGATTAAAACAAAGAGTGTGACACCCTTAAAAATTGCCAAGATAATTTTTCTCAAACCAGCAAATTTTTTGTCCACATCGTTGTATAAGATTGCCTATGTTATGAAAAGACTTAATAACCAATCGATGTCATAAGTCTTCTAATTGCAGCATCAGTTTTATATAACTGACATTACGTTTCGGAGAAATGAAATCTATGAAATGAAACGATTATACCAACTTTTTACAGGATATTATACACAAAAAAAGATAGTTATAGCTACCAGAGCTTTCTTGGATCCCATTGATTACAGCCTGGGGAAGAAAAGTTGTATCGATGGCTACGTCCATGGCATTGACAATTTCATTGTTACTGGTTTCCTCAACGTGACCGGGTATAATCTTACGCTGGTCCCTGCTTATTTTAACGTGATGTACCTCCATCCCTTGCTCTGGATCTGGAATCCGGTAAGCGAAGTTGTAAACTTTTTCATAACTTTATCTGTGTCCCAAATTATAGCTTTCTCATTTATTATCAATATTCCCTATCATCGTCATTACATTTATAGAAATATATTGAAATTTTCAAAAAATAACTCAGTGGTTGGTTTTACGTTGTACCTCTGCCCACTGCTGTGCCTGGATGTCATGTGGTTGGTGTTACATTTTACCTCTGTCCACTGCTGTATCTGGATGTCATTTGGTTGGTGTTACATTGTACCTCTGTCCACTGCTGTGCCTGGATGTCATGTGGTTGGTCTTACGTTTTACCTCTGTCCACTGCTGTATCTGGATGCCATGTAGTTGGTGTTACGTTGTACCTCTTTCCACTGCTGTGCCTGGATGCCATGTAGTTGGTGTTACGTTGTACCTCTGTCCACTGCTGTGCCTGGATATCATGTAGTTGGTATTCCGTTGTACCTCTGTCCACTGCTGAGCCTGGATGTCATATAGTTGGTATTACGTTGTACCTCTGTCCACTGTTGTGCCTGGATGTCATGCAGTTGGTGTTACGTTGTACGTCTGTTCGCTGCTGTGCCTGGATGTCATGTAGTTGGTATTACGTTGCACCTCTGTCCACTGCTGTGGCTGGATGTCATGTAGTTGGTATTACGTTTTACCTCTGTCCGCTGCTGTGCCTGGATGTCATGTAGTTGGTGTTACGTTGTACCTCTGTCCGCTGCTGTGCCTGGATGTCATGTAGTTGGTATTACGTTGTACCTCTGTCCGCAGCTGTGCCTGGATGTCATGTAGTTGGTATTACGTTGTACCTCTGTCCACTGCTGTGCCTGGATGCCATGTAGTTGTTATTACGTTGTACCTCTGTCCACTGCTGTGCCTGGATGCTATGTAGTTGGTATTATGTTGTACCTCTGTCCACTGCTGTGCCTGGATGTCATGTAGTTGTTATTACGTTGTACCTCTGTCCACTGCTGTGCCTGGATGCCATGTAGTTGTTATTACGTTGTACCTCTGTCCACTGCTGTGCCTGGATGTCATTTTATTTTGGACAAGGCGGAACACGCCTTGCATAGCTCATCTTCTATGCAAGATCTGTAAATCAGAAGACGACAAAGCATGTAAGAAGAAAAAGTGTGTAAGAGACAAAGCGTGTAAGCAGAAAAAGAGTGGTAGGCGACAAAGCGTGTAAGAAGAAAAAGCGTGTAAGACGATAAAGCGTGTAAGGAGAAAAAGAGTGGTAGGCGACAAAGCGTGTAAGACGACAAAGATTGTTAGACGACAAAGCGTGTAAGTCAACACAGTGTGTAATACCGCAAATCTTGTCACACGGCAAAGTGTGTTAGACGGAAAAGCATGTAAGTCGAAACAGCGTCTAAGACAGCAAAGCGTGTAAGACAGCAAAGCGTGTAAGACAGCAAAGCGTGTAAGACAGCAAAGCGTGTAAGACGGCAAAGCGTGTAAGATGGAAAAGCGTGTAAGACAGCAAAGCGTGTAAGACAGCAAAGCTTGTAAGACAGCAAAGCGTGTAAGATGGAAAAGCGTGCAAGAAGGCATTTAATACTAAACAGACAAAGCAGTGAACTTGATTCACAGATAAATGGAGTGTTTGTCCAAGACCAGAATCTTCTGTCATGTGCTCTTGATTTATAACATTCGCCGTTTCGGTGAAAACTCTAAAATTTGAGTAGCTTCCAAATATACATATTTTGAATTAACATAAAATAGTTATCATGTCAGATTCTGTTGACCTGAGAGCATCATTGAACATGGATTTATAATTCGCCGTGTCATGTAAAATAATAAATGTTCATAAATATTGTAGATTTCTATAAATAAAGCTTGTTGCTCTGGTCAAATAGCTTAAGATAACTTCGGCTATAATAAATGTATAATTTGTTTAAACAATGGTGAAAAAGTGAAATATTGATTGTTTCCATCCATCCATGTGGCGCTACGGCCCATGTCCCTAGGGCTTTGGCCTGTATCACTCCTTCCTTCCACACAGACCATGCTTTTCCATGCTTGGATTTCCAATGGCTGTATATCTCTTTACATATCATCCATACATCTAAGCCTAGGTCTGACTTTGAGCCGTTTTCCTCTGGGGTTTTGGTGATGTACTGTTACGTACCGTTGTAAGTATAGAGAAATTAATCTCTTATTTGAGTATGTGGCTCGTTGAAAAGAACAGTGCATATCAAAATGCAATACCATAAATTAAATACAATAATAATGAAAAATAAAACCAAACTAGGGATAATTAAAATTAATAATTTTATTAAGTTAATTATAAATTACAAAATCAAAAAGAAATAAAAACTAAAGCTATTGAAACAGTACAGTGGTGACTTAAACCGGTACAACGTTGAAGAAGATACAATATTGTAAAAGGTACAATGTTGAAAAAGGAACATACACACACACACGGCAAATAATAGTAAACAAATCTCTGTCTCGTTAGCAAATATCTCTCAGCTCAGTCTTTTCTATGCGTATTTATAGTCTTTTTTAACTGACTTTTCTAGAAAGGGCTTACACATTGTATCAGCGCCTCGACCAATCAATATTTTCTAAAGCAGGGGGTCTCAAACTCAAATCATCCAGGGGCCACAGGACTTAGAGTGAGACTGGGCCGCATCAAGTAAAAAAACACACAAAAAAAAACGATTACACATTCATTAAAGTACACCTGTTACAATCTGCTCAACCTTCATTAATAACAGATAAAAACATTGAGGGTTCTCAAGAACTAGGCTTCACTTTCTTCCTCCTACTGCTCGTTGCCCGAGACCTGGCAGCGCTTCTTCTTACACAGCTGAGCAACATTTGGCTTGAGTGATAAAGCTACTGAGACCCTCAGTATAGCTTGAAGATGCTCATTAAGTAAGTTTGTTCCTGAACTTTGACTTGTTAAAGTTCATAGTGGAAAAGAGCTTTTCAAACAGATAGGTACTCCCAAAAAAGGCACATGATCCGATTGAGCAACCTGGAAATCTCAGTGAAGGTGTAGGGCTATGCTCTCATAAATTGACAATGCTTGTCTGCTTCTCCATTCAGTCCCTGAACTCAGAATTGCACTGAGTATCAATGAGCTCGATTTGAAGCGAAAGTGGGTGGGGGGAGGGGGGGGCGCATCTTTCATATTAAAGGAGAAAGGATCAGCAAAAGGGGAAAAGTGGCAGTGTGTGTTTTAAGGCAAAATACAAGTCATCAAATTCTTCCTGTAGATGTGCAATGACATCATTATATTCACTACTGAATGGTGTGCCCGAGTCCATGAGTACTTTTCATGTTTCTCTAAGAATCATAACACAAATTTTGGGCAGAATGCCCTGACATTGTCATAGGCAACACTGACAAGTTGCCCCTGGACTTGTTACTTCTTTTTGAGTACATTCAGCTCCTGTGTAAGGTCAACAAGAAAAGCCAAGTCAATGAACCATTTGGGATCACTTAGTACAGGAACAACTACCCCAACCTTCTCCATGAAGGCTTAAAATGCTAAAATGTGTTCAGGTAGTATGCAGGAGCAGGCAATATTTGTAAATGATTGATGTGAAGGAAGATGCTACTGTAGGGAGAATGAATTTTGAATTTTTTAATCGTAGAAACAGCCTTTTTGACGAATCCTATTTTGAAATGGAAACAAGCTCACATGCTCGGAATTTACCTCACTCGATAATAGTGGGGGCAATTTTAATAGGGATTTTTTGATACTGTGTCAGATTGCAATGATTTACACAATTATGGTTGTGCATTATCCACAAACTGACTTTTTAAACTTTTCCCAAAACCGCACTTTGGCCGCCATGTTTGTCTCATAAAATGCTATGAAATAAAAATGTTTAGTCCGGTTTTAAAGCCGGTTCCCCGGTTGACAAGTCTGTGGTGGCTTGTCTGTGGTGGCTTGTCTGTGGTGGCTTGTCTGTGGTGGCTTGTCTGTGGTGGCTTGTCGATTAGGAGGCGTCGGCCACCGACCCCCTCGTCGTTACCCGGGGAACACAACTACTGGGCGCGTCCTGCGTGGGCAGACAAGGGATGTGCTCGGTACCTGTCGTACATAAAACAGCTCCTACAGAGCTGCCAGTTGTGATATTTCCCAACTGAAAAAATAGGCAGAGACAGGGTAGGGATCATGATTGCAAGTTGCCGTTAATGGATATGAGGCGAGAGGCGAAGGTGGTAACCTCTGGCAGATGATTCTTACTACGCAGCACTGAGAAGCTGCTCCAAGGCAACCGTTTCGTCCCAGCTACTTCGCAAATTAGTTACGTTGTGGAAACCCACTGTAGAATCCTTATTATTACGCTTCCCCGGGATGGGTGGTGGAAGATATTAGGACGTAAATTTTTCCATCCCGACTCCTGAGAAAGTCGATCGTGTGCACTGTGTGCGAACACAGTGTCGTACCGACCGGGTGTCTTTGGGTTAGGACGGCCCCTGGTGAAGACTTGGGCGAGAAGACTCGGGTGAGGGCTGTCCTGACAAAGGGACATCCCCGACGTGCCGCTCCGAGGCCCGATACACGGGTTGGGGAGGGGTGTTTTGGGGAGGTCATAAAGAGAACAAGCTCGTTGGCCCGCTGATGCCTTTCCTTAATGTTAACATTTCAGAAAGTGTGAGAGAGAGAAAGAGAGAGAGAGAAAGAGAGAGAGAGAGAGAGAGAGAGAGAGAGAGAGAGAGAGAGAGAGAGAGAGAGAGAGAGAGAGAGAGAAGCGCGCGAAACTATAGAGCACACACAAGACACAAAAAACACATATTGTTTCGGCTGTGATCTTTATAAATATATATATAGTGTGTGTGTTTTTAAACTATATATTATGAGAGAGAGAGTAAGAGAGAGAGAGAGAGAGAGAGAGAGAGAGAGAGAGAGAGAGAGAGAGAGAGAGAGAGAGAGAGAGAGAGAGAAGTGCGCGAAACTTTAGAGGTCACACAGGACACCAAAAACCCTTATTGTTTCGGCTCTGATCTTTATGAATACATAAATTGCCTTTGTGTTTTTAAACCATATATTTTCTTGATTTAGATTTCGTTTAACCACATGAACCTGAGGGAAGAAGAATGCACTGACATACAACACGTCCCATTAGATCAATGCGGATGTGAATATGAGTCAAACATGATCATACGTGTCAAGTGTAATGTAACGGCTCACATTGAACACACGGATACACTGGTTAGACTGCAGTTAATAACTGACCGTTTGTCTATTAGTGAGGAGATGAACATGACCAAGGTGTATCGTAAGTGAACATATTTCTGAATTGTTTTGGAAATGTTTTTAAAAAAACGCATGTATTAATTTTGCACATTTATCGGCCATGTTTGATCAGCACGCTGATGAATGGCAGTAAAGTGAGGCCCACATGCGTCAGTCACAGGCGGAAACTCAACATCATATATGTACGATTTCTGTGGCGCATTTTGCGTTTTTAATGGCTCAACAAAATCACACAGGGCGTGGACCGTGGTAAAATGTTCAGCAAGTTCTCCACTTCTAGTCGGTGGCGCCTTTACTGAATAGGTGATGAAAAGAGAATGATGGAAGGGCGTATCCTGACAGACATGCTAGACGGAGAAAATTCTTAGGAGGCAAGACCTATTGGCTGATCACGTGGTGATGCTATAAAATACATATTCAAAAGAAGCATGAAGGAAGTAAACATTGAAATTGGCGAAGTCGAGATTATCCCCGTTGCTCCAGATGGTGAAAAGAAGTGTACACGAGAGTTAAGAAGGCAGAAGATGTGCAAAATAAAGGATTTGAAATATAAAAAAAAAGCTTCACCGAAGGCCAAAGTAAGTCATGGTTCTCTTTCGGGAACTGCAAGCCCTGACTGCCATTACAGGTTGGGCTCTATTAAGATATTCAAATTTTAAGAAGAAAAAAAGTTCCTCCATCATATTCACGAAAACGGAAAATGTCGTATACAAGGTACACCCCGTTTGCAGAATGTCAAATTTTTGGTGATAATTTATATTTGGTGTAACGTTACGATCATCTCCCAATAGTTAGCCTTGCTGTTGAAAAACGTTATCAAAATGTTGGCATCGCTGTTGATAGTCGAGGATGAACCTAGAACTGACCAGTCTTCCTTGCAATGTTCAAACAAACACACATCGGCTTCTTTAGTTTGTTCCTGAAAATAAGAGCGAGTAGACCAATCAATTTTCTGATCAATTTCTCTCAAATCATCTTTGATTTTAAGTCTGACTTTTTGACCCGCTGTAGATCATTGAAAATAGAAGCTGCACCCCAGTTGTTAAAAATCGTTGCAGCGCTCCCTTGTATTGCTGGACATCCTCTAAAACTTAAGGCTTACTCTCACAACTACTATTAGAGGGATATTTGCGTTAGCGGCTGGGGTGGCAACATGTTCAGCACGTCCTTGATAGTTTTTGGTCATATCGTTTGGAGTTAAGCCCGAATGTTATTCAAATAGTTGGTTTCATTGTTATCCGTCAACTTTGTTGAACTAAAGAAATAGCATTAAAATCAGCCAGCAGAGAGGAAAGAATCACCGTGGAAAGTAGTATTGAGGCTTGGCTCTCCGCAATGAGAATACGATGTCCTTGGCTTCTGAAGATGAGTCTGTGGCTTTCCCTTTAACGTATTGCGTAAAACAAGGCGGCTTTCTAGCCCCCAACTTTGTTTGCTCTGTGCTTTTATGGACAATCATTATTGCATTCCTAAAGGAAACAGGTTAGACGCATAACTACTAAATATTCGGAAAGTTTAAGTAATTTCAAAAGTAGAATAAACTTTTATTAGAGATCTCTTATTCACGGATTACTCAGACCTAAATGTTAGCTCAGAACTGAAAATACGCAAAGTAGTTGGCCTCTTTGAGATTGCGAACGCCTGTGACTCCTACAGCCTCGTCATCCAAATAAAAGAACACAGACAAAATGTACCAAGGGTCTGCAGAATCTCACAATACATTTAACTCTTCAAAGAAGATACAAAATCTCCGAGCGGTGGACAAATTCCCATGTTAATGCAGCGCCCTCTCACGGTCGATTACGTTGGATGGTGAGGTAAACAATAGTGGATGGTGAGGTAAACAATATTGGATGGTGAGGTAAACAATATTGGATGGTGAGGTAAACAACATACATTCCGAGTTGAGCTTCTTATTCACAAAACTTAATAGAAGCGTCTTGGAGCAAGGGTTCTCATTCGTTTCACTAAGATGAGAGCATCTAACGAAATTGTAATTAACGACTTTCCTATACGCCATAGAGACTTTGACAGTGTCAAGTAGACGTTGACTAAACCATTTCCGCCTACCATACTTAAGCAAACGTATTGACACAGGGTTGCAGGACGAAGGCCTTGCAAATAAAGCCCCCAAAACTGGCGGGCTTTACCAGCATCCACACGGTCTTAACTAAAGGACCGATCTTTTAAACTTATCTACTCCAGAATGTGAATGTCTTCGTTTTAAATGTTTGATAAAAAGATTTCTTTATTTTTAGGCGATACTTCGTGTGCAATGGGAACCTCAATAAACGGAGGTAACTACAGTTATTTAAATAACCAAGTCAGATTTATTATTTCACCTTGTATTATTCCATGACTTTTCTTTCAAATGAAACGGATCGGTACAACTCTCTCCCCTCCCCGCTTCCTAATTTCTATAGTGGAGTCAAGGGTATGAGAATCACTGTTGTGATGTTTGAGATCACAGTAAATGATGTTCACCCGAAATAATGCAAGCATGAGTAAACAAGGCGTGAGATTGTCAATGATGGGCGAGAGGTTATGCATAATGAGAGCGTTGTGTCTTAGACGGTAGAGCTGTGACATAGTCAGAGAGTTGTGTCTTAGACGGTAGAGCTGTGACATAGTCAGAGAGTTGTGTCTTAGACGGCAGAGCTGTGACATAGTCAGAGAGTTGTGTCTTAGACGGCAGAGCTGTGACATAGTCAGAGAGTTGTGTCTTAGACGGCAGAGCTGTGACATAGTCAGAGAGTTGTGTCTTAGACGGTAGAGCTGTGAAATAGTCAGAGAGTTGTGTCTTAGACGGTAGAGCTGTGACATAGTCAGAGAGTTGTGTCTTAGACGGTAGTGCTGTGACATAGAGAGTTGTGTCTTAGACGGTAGAGCTGTGACATAGTCAGAGAGTTGTGTCTTAGACGGTAGAGCTGTGACATAGTCAGAGAGTTGTGTCTTAGACGGCAGAGCTGAGACATAGTCAGAGAGTTGTGTCTTAGACGGCAGAGCTGTGACATAGAGAGTTTTATCCTATTCACTGTAAAGATTGTTGTGTGTTTCTGAGTCAGTCGGACGTAGTCTGACATTAAGATTAGATAGATAGATAGATGGTCAACCCCGAGATCTACAACTCATCAAGTGGCGATCGTACTTCGAGGAATTAAATTATTGATTTTGACTCTCAAGTACATCTATAGTAGAAGCTTTTAAAAAAAAAACACAATTTTTTATTTAACAGGAACGCGCTCACATGGCTGGTACGACGGAATGCCTGGTATGTATTTTATATCTTATATTGATAAGCAGAATTGAGCCGAGTGACTTTTACTATGAGATTAACATATAACATTGTTTATTTTATGAAGTGTTTAAAACATACAAACGGATTTAATTGCAGGTTTATTTTTTGTTAACGGCGGGGAGGGTGGGGTCGTTCTACCGTTAAAACATATTTGAATTCTTGGTCATGGGTGAATATTGGACAAAGGGGATATTTGAGTCCACGAGATCTTATCAAGAAAAATGGTCTCAATACAAATAGCTTAAATTTTAAACAAGCTTCTGGAAACTCGTTCACCAAGATAATGTGCAAAAGAGATGCATTCGATAAAAGTCACTGTGGCATTCCTGTCCTGTTCCTTTGGTTGAGGTTCCCAGGAATCGACCCGTGCTTCTAGTGAGATAGTTCCATGGCACCCCTTTTATCTCTTCTAGTGAGATAGTTCCATGGCACTTCTTTTACCTCTTCTAGTGAGATAGTTCCATGGCACCCTTTTACCTCTTCTAGTGAGATAGTTCCATGGCACCCCTTTTACCTCTTCTAGTGAGATAGTTCCATGGCACCCCTTTTACCTCTTCTAGTGAGATAGTTCCATGGCACCCTTTTTACCTCTTCTAGTGAGTTAGTTCCATGGCACCCTTTTACCTCTTCTATTGAGATAGTTCCTTGGCTTCTCTTTTACCTCTTCTATCTTCTAGTGAGATAGTTCCATGGCACCCCTTTTACCTCTTCTAGTGAGATAGTTCCATGGCACCCCTTTTACCTCTTCTAGTGAGATAGTTCCATGGCACCCTTTTTACCTCTTCTAGTGAGATAGTTCCATGGCACCCTTTTACCTCTTCTAGTGAGATAGTTCCGTGGCATCCCTTTTACCTCTTCTAGTGAGATAGTTCCAGGGCACCCCTTTACCTTTTACATTGACTTTCTCATTAAAATGATCACCAATGGACATTCATCTGTTGACATTTTCTTATAATCTCTTAACAGGTCACATCCTTCTGGTCACAGCTTTGGTCAGCACCGTTAAATCTATGGTTTTATATGGTTAATGAACTCATCGATGGTACGGCTGGATGCTGGGGGCAGTCTGGATCAACAGAACAATATCATCTCTTTGTAATGTACAGTTCATCAGCTTAAGCAATAAAACATCTTAAAGTAATTTAACTCAAAATATAATTAGGAAAATCACCCTATGGAAGCATGTGAAGTATACAAATATATAAAAATACAGACCGATAACCCTGGCGAAAATGAAACATGACATTGAACATTATCAAAAGAAACATCTTCATTACGAAATAAACATCTTGAATTTTTTATTTAGAATTAGAATACGACTATAATAATTAAATTTTAGCAATAATGATTGCAAGTACCAATATAATACCTCCAGGAAATGAATGGTGGCATGGAATGTTCTAAAATTAAAATAACTTTGCTAGATATTTTGAATTTAAGTTTAATTTTATACCACTCATTATTTTAATTTGTTCTTGTAGTTTGTTGTTGTTGTTGTTGTTTGTTGTTGTTGTTTGGTGTTGTTGTTTGGTGTTGTTGTTTGTTGTTGTTGTTGTTTGTTGTTTGTAGTTTGTTTTGTTATTGTTGTTTGTTGTTGTTGTTTGTTGTTGTTGTTGTTGTTGTTCGTGTTGTTTGATGTTTGTAGTTTTTTGTTGTTGTTGTTTGTAGTTTGTTGTTGTTGTTGTTTGTTGTTGTTTTTTGTTATTGTTGTTTGTTGTTTATCGTTGTTGTTGTTTTTTTGTTTGTTGTTGTTGTTTGTTGTTTGTAGTTTGTTGTTGTTGTTGTTTGTTGTTGTTTGTTATTTGTTGTTGTTTTTGTTGTTTGTTGTTGTTTGTTGTTGTAGTTGGTTGTTGTTGTTATTGTTGTTTGTTGTTGTTTGTTGTTGTTTGTTGTTGTTTGTTGTTGTTGTTTGTTGTTTGTAGTTAGTTGTTGTTGTTGTTGTTGTTATTTGTTTTTGTTGTTGTTATTTGTTGTTGTTGTTTGTTGTTTGTTGTTTGTAGTTTGTTGTTGTTTTTGTTGTTGTTGTTTGTTGTTGTTTGTTATTTGTTGTTGTTTTTGTTGTTTGTTGTTGTTTGTTGTTGTAGTTGGTTGTTATTGTTGTTTTTTGTTGTTGTTTGTTGTTGTTTGTAGTTTGTTGTTGTTGTTGTTGTTGTTGTATGTTGTTATAGTTGGTTGTTGTTGTTATTGTTGTTTACAGTTTGTTGTTGTTGTTGTTGTTTGTAGTTTGTTGTTGTTGTTGTTGTTGTTTGTTGTTTTTTTTGTTCTTGTAGTTTGTTGTTTTTTGTCGTATCGTAAATGTTCAAGATGCGTCACCGTGTCATATTTCACTCAACTGAGCTTTACTAACTTTTGAATGCCCTCAACCCCTTCTTCAAACTTTAATACATTTTTGGAAATTATAATTTACAAATTGACCCTTTTCGCCCTCATTAGTTACTCAACTGGTCCAATGTTCAACCATAGGTTACAGTTTAAACTTTAAAACTATCGTAAGTGTAATTACAGCTAATGCTCGACTTACGACCTTTGCAAAAACGACCATTCGACTTTACGACCACAATCAGTAGCCATAATATATCAGATTTCAGATTTATTTCTGCCTCAAATATCAGTCGAACGGCGTTGTCTGCAATCATAGGCGGTCGTGAGCATCGACAATCATGATTTAAAACAATAATAAAATAAATATATGATATAATTGAACTTAAATATTTTTTATGACATCACTTCACCTTACTGTACACATAGCGTACTCAACTTACGACCAAATCGTTTTACGACCGGTCTGTCGGAAGAGTTCGTGGTCGTAAGTCAAACGCTAGCTGTACATAATTGTGCTACCAAAAGTTCAAAATACAACCCCAAAGATTATCTCCCTTCACCAGAGGGCCACCTTGTGCTTGCTTGCGCGCCGGGCAAGAATATCCTTGGTGCCCCCTTTTAAGTATAAAATGTAAAATTTTGCAAAGAAAAAACAAGGGGCTATTAAAAAATAACGATAATATTTTTTCCTTAACTTCTATTTGACCGTAGGAACATTTAGCTTATGGGGGACACTTTTTTGTTTAGCTTTCAGATAACAACATCTTGGAATTTCACTTTCTATATTAATATTATTTGCAAATCATTTATTTCCTCATGTCAACATTGCCGAAGAATGCATCTTGTCTTGAGACATGGATGGTCACAAATATGTCTTTAGTTGACTAAAACTTCTCTCGCTAGCGGCTACACTAATAAGTATGCACGCATTTTTCTTAATGCTATCCAAAGATTCGGCATGACATTCTGCAAGTTATTATTGTTTATAAATTTAAAGGTTTCTATTGGAACTTTACATCATGGGAATTAATTATATGGCAATATCTAGTTCAGTCAACAAAACACATCAGATCATATCGCTATAGTCTCGATACCTTGTCTTACTCTCCAAACCATGACTTACTCTCCAAACCTTAACTTACTCTCCAAACCTTAACTTACTCTCCAAATCTTGACTTACTCTCCAAGCCTTAACTTACTCTCCAAACCTTTACTTATTCTTAATTAACTTATTCTCCAAACTTTGACATGCTGCTTTGAGATTACCTTTGTTTGGCATAGTTTTAGGTCGTTTAAAAATAAAAAATCCCCATGATCTATTCAAACTTTGCAAGTGTTCAAATCTCTTTGATAAAGAATTTATAACTCTGTCCAGTATTACATTGAACGCGTGATTTAGACAAAAACTTCCGGGTAATTTTGAACCTCGACATTGCACTCCTATTCAAACAGCCTTCTTCCGTTTCCACTTCTCCTTCTCATTCTACTTTCACTTCTACTTCTCATTCTACTCTCACTTATACTTCTCCTCCTCCTTTTACTTCTCCTTCTACTTCACATTCTACTTTCACTTCTCCTTCTACTTCTCCTTCTTTTATTTCTAAAACTGAGATTATACATCTAATCCTTGAGACATTTTTTTTTATTTTGCGGACTCTAGTGCATTCCCAAATCCAATTTTACAATAATCAATTGACTAATCAATGTCGGTATTCACAGTAAAACTGCAGTAGTTAGTTCCACAGAGGCGTCCTGCATTGTTTTGCTGACAACATTTACCCTGCAGAAGATATCGCACCAGACATTTATCATCACTAAAAAACAACACTCTTCTATTTGGGATACATGTATTTCTGCTTCATATCACATTACAAGATCAGACAGAGATGTTACACTACAAGATCAGACGCAGGTATTTCTGAAATTTCATAAAGACCTTCTCGAATTCCCGTAAACTCCAATTTAGTGGCCTTGACACGCATTCAGTTCTGCACATTCAATCTGGTATCACATAAAGCTTTTACAGGGAGGCAGTTCACATGTTGTTTTTTTTCCAATACATGCCATCGTTCAAGAGAGGGAGAAAAGAAAACATATGCGATGGACCTTACCAAAACGTGGATTCCAGGCAGCTTGTTGCACTAGTCTCCAACCACTAAATTTAGGTCATGACATTCACAGGGCATATAAAAGGCCCATGTATTTCCCTTCATTATCCGTGCCTGAAATCCTTTGTGTGGTGTAAATAACGTGTACAAGCTTCCCTTAAAATACACGTTTCGTTCAGCTAAATATTGAGTGATGCTCATTGGATGAAACGTTCTAAGACTTTAAGACGTTGGTCTCTGGTGACTGAACCTCCTTATCAATAGCTTTATTGGTCTGTATTCGCAGTGATGTTTCAAACCATTTCTTTATACATTCACACGAGACCTAAAGGCAACAGCACACGTGATTTTTTAGCCTGTTGAAGTAATGATGAAAGTACTGATGAAAGTACTGATGAAAGTACTGATGAAAGTACTGATGAAAGTACTGTCTGCGGATAGGATCTACACCGAAAATAATAAATAATCTCAAGTGACTTATACCAAAAGTTATCGTCAGATGTGCAAAGTCGACGCAAATGAATAGCAGAGAAAAGTGAAAATAGTTCTTACAGGACTTAGGGTGGGAAGAAGAGTCGAGTAAATAGGTATAGCTGTCAGTAGGTTTAAAGTAGGCGGAGGTGAGTAGGCTGTCTTTGTGATGGGTGCCCTCAAAGTCCAAAACAATTAACCGAGATTTCAAACACCAGTGATGGAAATTTATTGGGGGTGGGGGAGATCCAAAAACCAAGTTAATAAATAGGTCAAGTGCACTCTTATTCATAGGGGTGGGCCTATACCATCATCAATGTACGGCAGGGGTCTCAAACTCAAATCATCCGGGGGCCGCAGGAGGTACCCTGACATTGTCATAGGCAACATTGGCAAGCTACCCTTGGTCTTGTAACTTCTTGTTGAGTACATTTAGCTCCTGTGTAATGTCAGCAAGAAAAGCCAAGTCCATGAGCCATTTGGGATCACAAAGTATTGGACAAACCACCCATCCTTCTCCATGAAGGCTTAAAATGCTAAAATGTGTTCAGGCAGAAGGCAGGAGCAGGCAATATTATGAATGATCAGAAGATGATATTGTAGGGAGAATAAATTTTTATTTTTTTTTATCGTAGAAAGCCTTTTTGACTAATTAACTAATTATAAAAATGTTGGGCTGCAATAAAGCTTTAAAATAGATTAATAAGACACGAACAAATTGTGTCAATATAAAAATATAAGTTACGCTTTAATAATAATTATACATTATACACAAGTAAACGTTTCGGCACATGTCTTCAACAGTACAAACAAACAAAACACATTTAAATAAGTATAAATTAAATTTACATAATATAAATATACATATCCTACCTAAAACAGAAAAAATAGGAGAGGGCGCTAAAACCAGACAAAAACCAGACAAAAACAAAGTAAAGTTTAGGGACGCGAAAAGGAGTAGGGTAGGCATATTATTATTATTATTATTATTATTATTATTATTATTATTATTAGTATTATTATTATTATTATTATTGTTATTATTATTATTATTATTATTATTAAGGTGGTTTTAGGTTGAATGGAGAATTACACGGCGGACTGCGTGCAGGTTCAAGCAATAAGAAATGTACAAAGGATAGAAGATAACCCGAAGAAGAACAATGTCATCAGTGTTGATATAATAATAATAATAATAACAATAATAATAATAAGAGGTCTTATATAACAAGAAGAAGAATGTCATCAGTGTTGATATAATAATAATAATAATAATAATAATAAGAGGTCTTATATAGCGCGGTACCCCAGCCTAGGGCTGGACTCACCGCGCTGCACATTCAAATTTTATCAAAAGAGACATAATCATGACATTAAAATAAAATACATTTATGAAAAAAAAAGAACAGCAATGTATATTCACCCACCCCACCACATAACTTTTACAAGGCAAACCATGGACGGCAGCCAGCAAGATCATTTATCGGTCAGAGGAGGGGAATCAGTCAGGGTAGTATAA